TTTAGTAGTCATTAAGCTCGTTTACTAAGCGATACAGATATCTCCCCTTATTTATCTTGTAACTGCATATGCTCAGACAGAGAAAGACGCCGCAAGTGAAGTTGTACGAAGATGGGGTGCTTTCAGTATTCTCTGAATGATGTTGCAAAAATCAGCCTACAATGGCGCAGAACATCGCCTTTGCGGCTAGCTGCTTATTCATCCATTTGTATTCACGTTCAGTGAGACTGCACCTGGTAATCATGATGTAAAACCCAGTTTCGTTTGATAGGGAAGTTGGGACGTTGAGAAACACGCAATCAGATCACTAAAGTCGTAACAGGATCAACGCACAAATCGACCATACATTGCCGCCGTGTTCTGCTGCTCATCGCAATTCACCGCAAGAACTGCAGTAAAAGAAGTTCGACTTATCGCGGAGTGTTAGTGATTTACCCCTTTATGTGGTGAGTTAAAAGACTTGTACGCGCATTTAAGTTAATTGTAATTTATTTAAATCGTTCACATAAAAAAAAGACAAAAAACTTCCGTTTCTTTTCTAACAATCACGTCTTGTGAGAGCTGTACTTCGAGCAGAGTATGAAGTATGCGCGAAATGTTTTTATCCGAGGCGGCAACTACGAGAGTACAGTTTGGTACACCCTATGAGCTTACTCAGGAAGGTGGAGGAGGGGGCTTATGGGGCTGAAGTTCCGCCCCGAAACAAAATTGTTGGCACTCTATTGTATATAATGGCCCATTCAGGCAGATCAGTTCCTGGTACAAGATAAGTGTTTGCCCTCATTTGTAAGTGCGAACCTCTTTTGACACTACCGATAAGGTGGACCGATTTTCTTTCGAGACGCCCCTTACAATCACCGATAAGTAGCCTCCCCGAGTATCGTCTCAGGCTTCGCAAGTGCGTCCGTTTCCCAACCCCATCGCCAGACACTCCATCTCTTCCTCTTACAAATCGCACGATGTTTCTTGCGCTATTGTTGTCTCCTCATCTTATCGCGAGTCCAGCCATCACCGCCTATTCGTTCTATTGCTCGCACCTATCTTTGGCTATCGTGTCAAGCGCCTAGTTGTTGACTGAGCAAACCCGGGATAAGAGCAGGCTCGCGTACTGCGGCACAATCATTTCCTCGCTAATCATTTTAAGCCTTTTTTTTTTTTCTTCCTTGGTTGCTTTGGGCTTGTTTAACTACCAGGAAGTACGAACTCTTGCGTCAGCACAATTAGATAGCCTAGGTGTACCGTATCATACGCCACGTCGTCCACACTGAGGACGATTTGCGCGCAACGTTGGAGATCTGGCGGAGTCAAGCAAGCAGTGTCCATAAGTGCACCGTCACGGCGCTCGTCGCTTTTGTGCGTTCGCTTTCACCGGATAAACCAATCACGTACATAAAAAGAAACGTTTTTCTTTTTTTCCGTATAAACAAATCAATAAACGGAGTGCATTGAAGCTCTTCACAAAGACGCGTCATTAGGTAATGCATTTATCGCACTCAAATTTCATAAATGTGAGTTTCAGAGAAAAAGAACACTTAACGCTTAAAAAATGATTTTTTATTTTTCCTTTGCACAGGCAGGAAAAGGGTAACATCCTTTTGGTTAACCAGGCTACTCAGGGATATGGTACTTCACACGCTTGGACCTGGTGTATCGGCTTCCGGGTGTTCACCTCAAAGATGTTTTCACGTTTTACTCATATGACATTTTAGTACGATAAACGCACCACATAGACACCTTTGCGAAAATTTTCATTAAACTTAAATCATTAATTTTTTTTTTCGTTTGCAAAGCATTTGGAAACACCCTCGTTGCTTCTTTATGTGGACTATAGTTATGGTGACATCAGGCGCGCTTGCAAAACACTCGCGGAGTGTGTTGTTCTCGACAAAGCAAAGTACTTCGTCGCAGTCTCGCACGGTGACGCTGGTCTATTTATAGCCGCGCCTCCGCGAGACCGTCGCGGTGAGCTGCGTTGGTGGAGGAGCGATTGCACGAGCTGCCCAAGGCTAGCGACTCAGCCGACTCATCGACTCGCGTCACGCCAATCAACCACCGATCCCCTTTGTACGAAGCTGGTGAAGGCGCTGTCCGGAAGCCGAGGAGGGTCTCAAATGTGTCAGAAAACTCGCGAACCTCGAGACAGGCAGCTAAACAATTTAAAAGCACGCCGCCTAGTTTCGTCTGCAGTGTACCTTCGAGTGCTATTCGGGTCGAATGCGTCTTTAGGCAATGCATTTATCATACTCGAAGAAAAACTACAACAAAAAAGTGCAGAGTAAAATATATATATATATCAAGGACTGCTTCGATTTCTGTCTTGGCCATATAAACGCTTCGGCGCATGCACTAAAATGAGGAGGGGATCCGGAAGTATATCTGATGCGTGGGGGCGACGTCCGGGGGCTCCTGTCGCATCGTGTAGTTCACCCTCTCTCTAAATATATATATATTCTCCCCTCCCACCACCCCTCTCACGGGTGGTGGGAGGGGAGGGCGCTTGGAACAGCTGTGTGTGTGTGTATGTGTGTGAAGGGGGGGGGGGGGGGCATGCTCCCACTGGTTTCGAACCTGTGGGAACAACTGCCCCCCCCCCCCCCCCCCCCTTTCCCCCGCCCCCCGTTCCGGAGCCCTTTAAAATGATAATTCCAACTGAAAAACGACAAACATCGCAATGCTCCCCGGAATATTTTAGATGACAGTCATAAAATATCAATAAGCGTTGTTTTTTTTTCTTATTGAATCTTATGGGCCATATTTCCAAAATTATAAATTTCTGCTTTTCTTGAGAAAATATCGTAATGGCTATCATAAAGCGCAAATCAAATAGAATTTTGATATTTTCTAGAAAGCTTAGTCCACGGAATGTCCCAGAAAGTTGGCCAAGTTCCAGTCGAAAAAAGACAAACTTTCAGGTTCTGACGTTAGAGGACAACGGCAGTAAATTTAGTAATGGCATAGAAAGTTATTCCTATCGCCTTCAATAGCAAAAACGGAACACGGATGTTTCTCATTATTTCTCTCGAATAATTACCTCTCTGAGAAATTATTTCCGTTGATGAATCTGGTAACCAACACTCGCGCCCTGTCCAGTATGCAATACCTACCCAACACGTACTCGCAAACAGAACCGCCAGACTGCAGCTGCCATTGCTGACCTTCTCTCGTCTGATGCCGAGCCAGCGAAGCGGGCGTTGACGAGTCTCCGCAAAGATTTATGCTGGCATGGACACTGTATAATCTAAAATGGCAATAACCTGTCCTGCTGCGATAATGATGAAGTGAAGTGAACGGAATAAGAGGGAAGCGCCTACACTGCCTACACTCAGAAACAACGAGCACACGGGTGCCCATAGCATTGACTAAATTGCCATGAAAAGTTGTCCCTGAGTGTATAGCGGCTTTTTGCGGCCTTGTCCACTTTCAGTTGCAGGTGATGGTGGTACGTAGCACTTCACAGAGTGATATCTATAGCTATAGTCAGCGACTGAGTGGGAACTGTTTTGAAGTGCCTTTCAAACGTTCGTCCTCCAGTACGCGCTTTAAGCCTTCCGCCGTGCTTTGGCTGCGCGAGCGCTCTGGAAGTGGGGAGACGCCGAAGAGTTGTTGAAGCTAGGAAGCTCGGATTGGCGTAGGAAGAAATCTTTGTTTTTGGAGGGGGGGGGGGGGGGGGGGAAAGGTTGAGGTAGCTGGGATGCCCATCAATCAGGGTGTGCAGGGGGTCAAAGTGCATGTGTATATTATAGGGTAAGCTGGATTTCGGGAAAAGGGGGGGGGGGGGGTGCGCTGAAGCCAGCCTCCCCCCTGGATACGCCACTAGAAACTCGCGCTGGAGACGGGACAACTGAAACTATTCCCTGCCGTTCTCACACTGCCGGTGAAAAGTTTAAACCCTTTCTCGGAGGCGTGGGAAGTATATTTGAGGAGAGGGGCAGGCACAAGAAATGTCAAGAGATAAAGCTCCAATTTCTACACATTTCTTAGCCCTGGTATGCTGTTTCGTGAAATTCAGTAACACACCCCACAAGTGGGCAGGGCAGTGAACTTGTTCCAAAACCCGGTGGTTTGAACGATGCAGCGACAAGAAAATCTTCACTGCCAAGCCCAACCAACTGCCGACACAAGCTCAAAGTATAGTTATTGACTAACGTTACAATGCCTGGAATCCGTTTTCCAGCGGTGTGTTCAATGCCCGACACGTCAATGCATTATACTAGTGTCCACGAAAAGGCAAAACAAGAGGCTCCGAAAGGATGGCTCAGACCGCCGTGGCCCTGCGCTAGTGAAATATCTTATATGTATAAGAAATGTTTTGGTAAAAAAAACACATATGCTTTGATAAGGTCATATAAGAACCTTAAGCACTGTTCACACACTTGCAACTGAATTGAATACGACCTAGAGAGACAAGACGGGGTTTTAAGCCTCTTGCGACGGCGGAGGATTCGATGCGCTGCTTCAGAGCAGGTTGTACGCTGTCGCAAGAGGCTTAAAACCCGGTCTTGTCTCTCTCGGTCATACTGGGTTGCAAGAGTGTGAACGGCGCTTTACAAGAGCATATAAGAACCTTATAAGAGCACATAAGAACATATAGGTACAATGTACTTAAGATTATGTTATAACAAACCACTTATCAATTTCTTATAACTTCTTATATACCCTTGTATAGATCTTATATGTTCTTATTTGATCCCATTCGACCAAGAAATTTCTCATACAAATAAGATATTTCACTGGAGTGCAGGTTGATCGTAGAAGCAACACTGATAAACGGGTTCAAGCGTCCGTGGCATTGCAGCGTCTAACCTTGTGATTGCAAGAGCTTGTGTCGACCGACCGAACGATAGGCACACTACAGCTGAAGACACCTACTGACCGGCACATTACGGCTGAACAGACGTCTGCCGACCGAAGATGTCAGCGGTTCTAAGAATAACCACCAGTGCCACAGCTGCCTGAGACAATTAGGACGACAGCAGGCAGAAATTAAATGAAATTAGCACTTCAGGCAGACACTCTTTTTTTTTGCATCCTACAAATAATGAAGGGTGTTTGGAATTAATGTCTTAATCATATTGGCTTATTCGTCCACTCAGGAAAGTTAGTGACCAAGCTTGGGGTGAACACTAAAATTATGCTCCTCGATTCTACAATGGTAAAAAATTTACCAGGCTTTCTTTTTTTTTTTTTCATATGTTTTGCGAAATTTTACACCTAATTTGGGTAAAAACAGCCACCAAGAGCACCCATAAAAGTCAAGTATAATAATGGCATTTCAGGCTTGGGAATAGTAGTGACTTGTACTGGTCTAAATCAAAATTCATGTTTTGAACATCACTTGACATTTGTGTTGTTCTTGGCTGTGTATAAAGGAAGTTCCAATATCTCACAAAGAAGAAAGAAAAAGGTGTACAGATCATCCCAGCTCGTGTCTCAAATAGAAGCAGACTTCGAGTCAACCTGTTCTCATACAGTTCCAGGATAAAGTGGCTTTAATAAAATTCTCAGAAAATTTATACTTTTTTTTTTTTTCAAATGATTGACATTCCAGGTTGACCCACTGGCAAACAGTGGTTCCCAACTAAATGGTTTAACAGCCCCTAAAAATAAAAAAAATAAACTTTTTTTTAAACAGTTTGGTGGGGACACCCATGTCAAAAAATTTTACGCGAACAAAGGTTTTTTAAGTATAGCAATACTGACGGTGGAAGATTTATTTTAACTTCAGTGCGCAAAGTCCATGACGTCACGGAATGGCCATGCACTCTTTCCACCTCAACGAGATGGTCATACACTTTCTCCGCCTCAATGTGATGGCCAAGCCGATCCACCTCTCCTCCACGCACCCGAAATGCCGAGAGAAAACAAGTGGGAAGGAGGTGACTACCGACTAAATCGTGTCTCGCGCTGCCAATATTTCTCTAAAACTTTTCTTTTTTTCATAAAATTAATTTTGACAATGCGTGTCCCAACCACTGTTTAAAAAAGTTTTTTTTTTTTTCTTTTTAGGGGTCCTTAAGTGATTTTCTCAAAAGATGTCCAGACTTTTTCCTCAGCTGCTTGACATCTCCGGGCAATTTCAGGTTGACCTCGAGGTTCCTAAGTTCGAAACTATACAATAATCAATCGAAATCAGCAGAAAAACTCAATCCCAAACATCTTTGTCTGCTGAGCATAGGGAGCACAGATAACAAAATATTTTATCAGTCTGAGTCAAAATCAAGGACCATTGAGCATGTTCATTTCTGACTGAAATCCCCCGATTCAGCAAAAATTTGGCTCATCTTGATATTAACCAAGAACGAAAAATGTGAATGTACTAGCAGTATTTGCAGCAACATTAAACTGCTGTTCCTCGCATATAACTAGGGCAACCAATGCAAGGTGATCGGAAAGGTTACTAGAGCCACGAGTTATGCATTCCAGAGAATGACTAGCTCCCCATGAACCATTTCTGCCTCAATGCAGCACTTTAAAGATAGCTACATTTTAGCACTGATCACAAACAGCTGTTTCTATGGGATATAGTGCAGTGAGGCATGTAATGCTATAATTCCTGTTTAGCTGTAACTCCTGTACAAACATTTGCGTCACCAGAGCACCATCTAAACTCAGCTGCTTACACCTGCACCTCACTGCAGTGTTACCCCCCAAGCATATGAATTTGTGACTTGCGAGCAGTTCTCTGCGAATTTCGGCTGCTTCTAGGCTGTAGCATTGCTGGAACAAGGATGCATGCTTTGCGCTCTCAAATTGTACTGCCGAACACAAAATATATGAATGCATAGAGAAAAACAACTGGATACCACATCCAATATGCTTAGTCTCTAGTTCCTTGACAAACTGCTTACTTTGCAATAAAAAAAACAAAACAAAAAAACATTGTTCAAACAGAGGAAACACATCACAGAAACTTCTCACTGCTGTCTCTTGCTTGAATGACTGTCACAAGTGTCATACACCTCGATGAGATGGTGAGAAACTTGGAACATCATGGTAGCGAAGCAGACTGTGCACTTGGTTGATGCGCACAGCAGCGTGCGTGATTCAATCCTCACAGCAGGAACCCACTAAGCTTGCATTCTGAAAGCAAGAGAAGAACGAAAGTGTTTGAATTAAACACTCAAAGGTGTTGGTAGATACTTGTGCTAGCGCAGCGGTATGATCACTGATGTCCCTGGAAAACAATGCAGTTTCTAGACTTGTAAACTAAGTGAGCATGCCACATCCGTGCTCTAGACTCCAAAGTGATAGGCTCCTTTCACTACACAGATAGGAGTGCCTGCTGGTTAATGAATTCCTTCTCTGCCTTCCGTGATGTCATTTCCCATACAAGATAAGCCGACAAAAGAGCTGTCGAGCTGATTGCGGAATTATACCAACAACACTTTTTCTGTTTGACCAGACTCTGCCACCAAGTAAAGAAGATTAGACTGGAAATCTGCAACATCCAAATTGCATAAAAAAAAAAAAAATTGCTAATATGCCTTCCCTAAAAAAAAAAAAAAAAAAAAAAAGGAATTGGTGTGTAGATGGCGCCGTTTTGACATGTAATCAAACACTCGCAGTTCCTTATGATCAACACTAGAGCAATGACGTCTAAAATTAGCATTAACTACGTGCAGCGTGGTTGAGAAAGCAAAAATCAAAATTTGCTCTTCCACATTTTTTTTAAGCATAGCAAAATCGTTGTCGAATGTATCAACTAAAAGCAAATTCCAAAAGCATGATCGTTTCCCGTGGCTCTCATAGTGGTGCATGCAACTTGCAAAAAGGCGTCGGGAATCAGATATATGATTCAAGTCTATAAAAAAAATCCAAAAAGTCTCTCTCAATGATGAACTTTCTCTTACATTCCACATTTCCTGCACACAAAAGAAAATGGAAAGAAGACTCAATGTGCTCGGTGAGCGTATTTAAATGAGACATTTTAAAACCATGACCATATGTCAGATTGTTTCTCTTTGCTTCGAGTGTGTCTAGACAACACGTCAGCAGTACCACAAATTGGGTCACACTAGGCACGGTCCAAACCATTCAGGCTCATGTGCGGACAACACAAACTTGAGCTGGGCTCGATAGCAGGGGGCACACAACTTTGCAAGGATAAGGAACAAGGCTGAGCTCTGGAAATAATCAGAGATGGTTGCTGTTGATGTTGCCCATACCTTTTAACAGCCTATTGTGTTTGTTATCAGAGCACCCCTCCAGCTTCGCTCTCAAGATAAATGTGTACGGTGCACTTAATAGGAGTGTTCAGGTTAGTAACGTTTTTGTGAACGGCAAATAGTGCTGAGCAGAGGGACTTTTGAATAAACTTATACCATCCACTCTGCACAGCAATGAGCGTGAAAGTGGAAACAAACTTGAGCTTCATGATATAATCTTGTCCCGTCTTGAGGCTACTTGACTGTTCATGGTTGGAGTAATTATTGAAGACCCATGAGCATGGCTCAGGCATAAGTGTTAGAGACACAATACCAACATGAGTAGGGAGTTTGTTCAGTCAATGGCAACAATGCATTATAGCTAGCAACAAGTCACCCAATCTCTTCAGCGTCACATTCTGTAGTGAACTGTGCTTTGCCCCCTCTTTTTTTTGTGGTGTATATGGGTACATGACCTGTCTTTCTTTCTTTTTTTTTTTTTCACCTCTTTATTAATGACTATACCTTCTACTACACCAGTGGTTCTCAACCACTGATGTTTCGCGGACCCCTGGTGGACCAGCGGAGATGATGGAGGGCACCTTTCGTGATGAGGGGAGGCGAAATGTATAAGTTGAATATAATATTGACATTATAAATGGATTTAGCTAAGGGCTAGTGTGAAGTAGACTTCTCTTATTGACATACAGACGAGAAACTAGACCGTAAATGAAAAAAATCCTTCTCGATCGGAAGAAAATACAACTTTTATTGCCGGGCTTTACAGATGAGGCAGAGCTTCACGGACCCCCAGAATGCCTTCGCGGACCCCCATTTGAGAACCACTGTACTACACAATCATTATGCATTGCTCCAGAAAAAAGTATGAAAATTACAACACTAACAAAATTATTGAGAGATCATACTGAACATTAAAGGGGCACTGACACCCCAAGGGTCGTATTTTTTTTTATTGTCTAAGACAATGCAAGTTGCAGTGATAACCACGCAAAAAAAAATGCATTGCAAAAAAGAAAATTTTTTCACGCGCGCGTGTTTTTTTAAATTTTCAGCGTTTTGCTCTCCCGTTCTTTGCCTTCTCGCTTCTTTTGATTCGTGACGTCAAAAATTATGAAATTTGAAAGCTTTGTAGGCGACATTTCTATAACATTTAATAACGGCAATCGTAAAACATGCTTTTTAACGCAATTGCGAACTCACTACGGCCCTTCTTTTTGAAATACCAAAAATCGGAGTCTGGTGTGATGTCGCCTTCTGGAATTGTATCCTCCCTAGAAAAACATGCTACCTGGGAAGGCGGTACCACTCGCATGGAAAAAAAACGGTTTCTCTCAGTCCGCCGGCGCTCTCATCTCCCGCTCCTTTCCTCCTCGCATCGGGTCGCGATGGCAACAGCACGGAGTCGTGAAAGAAAGTCGACTCTCAGGACTCCGCAATATTTGACTTCAACACACCGGCGCGGATCGCACGGGAACTTCGATTTCGGCATTTGGAAATTGTTTTTTCACTTTACAAATACTGAACTACCAAGTTTAGAATTTCGAGGGTAATGTTCCGGCATCGTTTCCAATCGTTCTGGATAATAAAAAAAAAAAAATGATTTTGATGTGTCAGTGTTCCTTAAAGGACACATGTAAAGAAAAAAAAAACATTTTTTTAAACAGCTTAGATGGAAACAGGATATCGTAAAACGATTTTACAACGAAGAAAAAAAAAATTTTCAGAACTATATTTACGACGCTATACAAATTTGTGGTTGGCGCCCACGGGAGCCGTTGCTGGTCATGTGGTAGGCCTCTGCGTCGCCGCCGCCGCACGCTGAGCGTTATACGACGCCGCTTCAACACGTTTCTCCACACCGCTGTCGCCGCCGCCGCCGCACAAGTTCGTCTGGTTCGAGGCGCCGCCGCCGTCATCTGACCGGCGCACAGGTCTATCACGTCTGCTTGGGCTGTTTCAGGAGTTTCCTTTGGGCTCTAAAAGTAACTTATTCATCTTAGTTTTTTGTTATACTTCAAACAAAGATGAATAAGTTACTTTTTGAGACCATAGGAACTTCCGAAAGAGAGTAAGCACCACATGACAAATATGGGCCCATCACGTGATAAAAAAGGGCCACTTTTCCGCGGTGCCCACGAGCGCCAACTACAAATTCGTATAGCGCCGTAAATATAGACACTTTCCACAGGGGCGCCGCCATGTTGAATTGTCGTCACTTCCAGTACAGGCGACGACAAAATAATAAAACGTTTCAACCTGCAATTAGCAAAAAAATAGAGGGGAGTCAAAACGAGAAAGTGTGATGGTTAGGCTTATATCCTAAATGTCTTCTATTGGCGTGGCGACGGCAAAACAATGTTTTCGCTCATACTGGAAATGACGACAATTCAAGATGGCGGCGCCCTTGTGGAAAAGGTCTATAGCTCTAAAATTTTTTTTTTCTTCGTTGTAAAATTGTTTTATGATATCCTTTTTCCATCTAAGCTATTTAAAGATGTTTTTTTCCTTAGCATGGGTCTTTTAAAGAACAGAAATCCGGCATATTACATTATAAAAGTACATTTGTTTCATAGCGCAACTAGAGACAATGATATGGTCTCCAACAGGACATCGCTTTTGAGTTTACATGCACCAAAAAACAAGTTGCTACACTCGGGATGGAATTAAATTTTGATGACTATTTAGTGTTGACATACATCACATTGCAGACACGTGCAATCACTGCCCTGCACATTTTTGGGGCACAAGATATAAAGCAGCACCGAAAGTATCTGTTTTGTATCTTCTATTTCTGTTCTCTCGTTTTGTGTGTGTGTTCATTGGTTCTGCTGTATGACTCATTGTAATGTGTATCCCCCCCTCGTCTATGTAGTGCTCAAGATGTCCTTTAGGGTACATAAATAAATCAATAAGCAAATAAATAAATGGTGGTGCCAAAACAGGGGGAGGGCAAATATTTTCAGGCTTTTCAGACATTTGCAATATATGTATCGGGGGAAGGGGAGGGAAACCCACTCCTCCTTACCCCATTATTCCCTCATCTCTCAAACACCTCTGACACACGCTGAGCAGCAACATTTGATTTGGCTCAGTATCTTTGCATACTGACTATTTTGCACACTGACTACCGAGACCTGGTCGCAAAAATAAAATGCCCAATATCAAGCACATCCACAAAAGCAAAAAGCAAAAAAAAAATATATATATATTGTGATGATTAGCAGTGCTTATCTTTGCCCTGGACTGCATTCCGAAGCAACTATAGTACATTCTAAAAATGGATCATATGAAATGATTTTGTCACGCTGAATAACCAGTGCCCGGACTAGACACTACGCGTCCATAAAGCATATAGCAGCGATCAGTTTTTGCTGATCGCTGCTATATGCAGCGATCAGCAAAAACTGATCGCCGGAGTTGCCCTCTAACCCGCCGCTTCAGACTCATGGTCCCGTTAAAAGCCTGAGCCCTTACCGTGCGAGTCCTGACGTTGTTTGGAACAGCGGGTTTGTGGTGCTCAATACCGCAAGCTCTGCGGAGGCAAGCCGAGCACCAGGGAACCAGGGAGGTTCTGGGAGCTTTGCCGGCTGTATTTGTGTCAGTACGGAAACACCATCCGCAGCAGGAACAGGGAGCGCTGCAGCTGCTGGCGAGCCAGGAACTGCAGCAGGGGTCCGAGGGTGTACTGAAAGGAAGCACGAAGAGGCGTGAAATGCACATCCCCGTGCTTCTGAGCCCGGAATACACCGAGGAGGAACCATCGTAACTTCTAGCCCGAGGTTCGGAGAGAAGTGTACCTTTCATAGATGGCACAATAAGATAGTAGATGCCAGGCTGTTTTCTAAATTCGGGTTTATGGACAATGAATAGGTGTGAAAGACAGGGCTAGTGTACAACGTTTGAAGAAAGATGCTTCGGAAGTCAAGACAAGAAGAATGTCTACGCAAAAAAGAAGGTACTATCGCGAACAGTATGAGTGGGAACACTTGAGCGCATGACCTTCCATACATGCTGCTCTACTTCGATGCTGATAAAACTGTGAAATGGAGAGGGGGCTTTGAGTGAGCGCTTACACCGATGTACACATCCTCGCAGCCCTCCCTCTCCACTACACTGTTTTATAAGTCCCGAGGTAGTGCAGCATTGTATCAAAGAACATATGCTCCGGTGCTCTCGCTCACACTGTTCACGGTATTATATCAGTGCTTTGGCTGGTCTGAATGTGCTTTCTTCTTGGCTCGGTATTAAGAGACATTGTTTTCTGCAATGTTTCATGTTGCACACATCTGAAATGTCTAGAATTTTTTAGCTTCTACAGACTTCACATGAATGCATATGGGTATTGCGGGGAATCAAGCTGTAATTTTCCACATAGTATTTGATTGGCAATGATAGATCATCCCCACCCATCCTGGATGTCATTCTGCGTCCTACAATGTCCATTAAGATGAGACAAACATTGTTCTGTGCGATTTTCCCTGAACATGGTTAGAATCTTTGGATATGACTAGCAATCTGTGTTTTGTGAAAAGGTATAGAAGACTGGGGAGGCTATATTCAGGCAACAGTTTAAATGCTAGTGCCTGGAAAGTATTCCCAATAAATGTAACTCATTTATGATATTAAAAAGCTACTAATGGTTTCTAAAAGTGTGTGATGAAGTAAATGAAAACATTGCCATAGCAGAGTATGCTTGCACATATTAGTATAAAGTAAAGACAATGCAGATCAGACAAAGCAAATCATCAAGTCAATCCAACCAGCATACTCTTCTTAACATATGCTCAGAATATTTGTTTTGTATTGCACGTATTTAAGAAAACAGTCAAGAGTGAGACATATGCTACTGCTGTTTTTGCTGTGTTTGATGCCACAAAATGAGCCAGACCTTATATATTTAAAACTTTCCACATAATAACTAGGGCACGACCTTAATTGTACAAACCTCTCTTTCTAAAAGTAAATTTGTGAACATGGGTTTAAGCGGGACGCTTCTCGTGCTGCCAGCATTTACTATTTGACTAGGTTTAATTAATTTCTCGTGTTTACTTACACCCTTGAGCATAAATTATGCCTATTGTTTTTCCTCTTCATATGTAAATATCGCAAAAAACCTTATTTCCGACCTATGAAATCGTAAAGCAACCTTAAGTTAGGGCCGGGAGGCCTACCTGCGCAAGTGGCGCCATCTCTAAAGAACTAATACAAGCTTGCTGAGAGTTTTGAGTGTAGTTCACCAGATGTCCCCACTGTTCATTCAAACTAAAGCAATATATGACCGTTCCCTTGTTGTTTTCAGAGATGCACCAACTAAACGACTGTGATTCTCGTATGCTCATTTGTATCTTGTGCATGACGTTGAACTGATGCCAAGATTGGCAGTCTGCTCTTGGTCGGCGGTTGCAAGCTTTAAAATCTTGTAATACCGGAGTATAGCTTGCACCACGAAGAGAGAAGGTGGTATGAAAAGATAATTGCATCAGCAGAACGAAAGCAGCCAATATTAATGAGAAACACTTTCAATTCAATGATGCACCTCTGCAATATATAAGCATGGCTAACCAAAATGACAGACTTGAAAGACAAAAAAGCAATTAGACTTGCTACGGTAACTGTCATACTGTTTGTTTCTGCTCTCCATTAGCCTCTCCGAGTTTCGGCCATGTTTCTATTTAAAAATTTACACACAGCTGACGTGCTTCCTTGCTAACCCAATAAATCAAATATATATCCTAGCGCAGTGGTTCTCGTATGGGGGGCCTGCGGACCCTTCGGGGTCCCTGAAAGCCTCCTTAAGGTCCCCGAAGTCATCAACCGTCAGTCAAGCTGAGCGATAAAACTTTTTTTCTTTATTGACGCTGGTTGTCCTACAAAGCTATATACTAAAACAACCATGTGTGCTGAGTGAGTAGCTTTGGTTATTCTCCATTTCAGAGCGTCAAAGTGGCTCCAAAGTTGACTTTTGTCATTGTAATAATCCAGAAACCTGCCTCCCCCCTGGGTAGATGGGGTCTCCCATCACTTCTGCTGACCCAGGAGGGGACCACAAAACATAGAAACACTGTCCTAGCATTACTGTAACTTTGCAGTAGGTTTGTAAAGCTATTAAAAAACGGTATCTAGTGTCCAAACATTCATTAGCACAAAGCTATTAAAAACCGGTACCTAGTGTCCAAACAATCCAAACATTCACAACACCTCAACACCATTTTCTAAAACGAGCACGGTTACCCTGTCGTGCAAGTTACCCACCAGACCTCATTGCAGTTTCAGCAATCACCAAAGAAACTGTAAACTTTACTGACATTCAAACATGCAACAATAACATTTATTACATTGCTAAAATAATGAAAAAATAAATAAATACATAAAAAGCAACACACCCATTCAAATTGCAAATAGCCTGCAGATGTTTTATAGTTTATCAGGGCCTAGTGCTGCATTGCAGCTGGTCGGAGGTTTGTTGCGCCAAGTTTATCATGCTATGTGGTACTGGCAGAAACGAGGGCTGCACATGACAGGCCGGATCATTGTCTATCAGGACAATGATCTGGTGACTGTATCGATGTGGATGATATGATTTGGCAGGCAACTTGCTAAAAGAGACACAAGTAATGAGCGTGCAGGTTTACCTGAAAGAGGTAGCTTCGTCGTCTGAAATGCACCTGAACTTTCATCTTGCATTCGTTTTCCTTGACATTGTCAAAGTGGAACTCTATACGAGGCCTCAGACATGACTCACTCTCCACAGCCAGCATCTTGTGAGGAATGTACTCTACCACTCGGTACAGCATGTCGTATTCACCTGAAAAACAGACTTGGTTAGGAAATGAAACAATTACTGTATGCCTTCAAAATTCACAGCAGGCAATAACTCAAGGACCCTTAAAAACGTCTGATTTACCTATCACCGGGAGCTGGTAGATTGCCCGATATTTCTTGCCTATGCCCATATCTTTTCCGTCCACTTCCCGAACGGAGGTCACGAATGGAAACCACTGATGGATGAAAAGTCAAAAGAAAAGTGGTAAAACACTTTGTTAGTTTCTGTTTGACAGCCTTTGTGTTGTTATTTAGGATGACCACACAAAAACACACTCAAAATATTAGGGGTAATAAAAGCGTGACAATGTTGCATCTATTATGAAAACTGAGAGTTCCAGCTTCAGTGAAACCTCTCTTAACTTGGACAGTCGGGATGCATGCTTGGTGCAACTTTTTTACTGCATAACAGCATAGCAAAAAATATTTAGCAGTTCTGTGTTAATCCACAGCACAGTCATAGCGATAGCTACGACACGTCATGGCAAAGTAGTTGGGCATCGGCGTCGTGTTCACGCACCATGGGGTGCGTGGACAAAAGCGTTCGGAATAAAATAGATATGAGACCATTTTGTTTAGAACACTTTTGTTTCTTTTTTTGTTCTAGAGTGCGTGAAAGCACGCCACCCGGCACAAGCTCTTGGCATTGACAGTGCTACAACGGCATTCTGTTACCAACTATTTCTTCGTATTTTTCCAGAGAGCGCATGCATTGGGCAGCTTATACTATAAATGCCCTATGTATAGAGCGGGTTGTTAATGCTGTAGCATAGCTCTTTGGTAATGCCTCCACTTCGCTCCCAGAGGACCCAAGTTTGAATTCCGCAGGAGGCGGGCAATCGTTTTCCAGGATATGGTAACGTTGATGACGGATACCGTACGCCCTACTACGCCAACAACTACAACCCCAACAGCTACAACGCCAACAACTACAACAACAACAACGGACGTCATTTCCAGTGGTGGGAAGAGCCTATAACAGCTATCGCTGTAAAAGAAACTGAATGGCGGGTGGAACAGCCTATGTTTCAGACAAGGTGTGCACCTAGCTGCAGAGAGTTGATGACTGGAGCAATATTAAGCTGCTGTTGTTTCCTCTGAGCTAGTTTCCTAGGCAGGATTTCATGCAAGGCTAAGGTTAGGCAATCACCGAAGTTTACAAAGATAAACTTAATGGTGTTTATGTCGAGTAATTGGTCAGGATCCAACTGCCTGCTCTCTGTAAAACAGGCACTCTTGTGGGCATGGCTGGCCTCTGACGTGAGCTGATGAGTTTGCTTCGAAAGCACATGGCCAGATTAGGGTGGCTATGTGAACCCCCGGAGGGATGCATCAGAAGCTCTTTGGTAGTGGCCAGGGGCAGCTATGGGCAGTTGGCAGCATGTCTACGCCAGAGCCGTATATTGGGAGAGTTTGGCCAGTGGGTGTGGCGGCGAAGGTGCCGGAGAGGAGAAAAGTAAATGAAAGGGAGGAGAGCGCCGAAGGAGCGAGAGAGAAAGGGAGCAGAGAGGAGACGACCGCCATTTTTTAGCAATGCTGTCGGAGACTGGTCGGAGAAGAGCACTGCTGAGGCTACGCGTCGTCTGCTACAGGTGGACTTCTTTTTCGCCTGAATAAAAGTTTGTTGCCATACGCCAAAAAATCTTCATTTATTAGCTTTTTAACACACCGAGGAGTAACAGAATGTCATTTTCTTGCCAGAGCCAGCGATATAAAAGGCAATAATCAAGATTTAGATGCCGATCCCACACATTCTGCCGGGGAATGATCGAAGATGGCGGCCTTCCCCACTCAGCTGGGACCAGCCGGGAGTTCACGCGCATGCGCTCATGCCTCTCGCTCTGCGCCGCGTGCTGATTGGCTCACTCGGGAGGAGAGCGTTACGGCGGCGAGATCATAGACTGACCAAACTCTCCCCATATACGGCTCTGGTCTACGCCAGCCTCACATCAAAACTCCCCACTCAGGGTGTGCGTAAGTAGTTCTTCCTTTTATGCATACTATAGAATGTTTTTCCATGATGTCAATCTGCTATTTTGTTAATAGATACCAGTTTGATAAAACTTACAAGCTCATATATACCACAACTTTCATGGAGCAAAATCAATCTTGGAAATGCTTTCCTCACATGGGCCAGCCATGAGAACAAAATGGTAAATGGAAGATGACATTGAATGCACCTCATACCGTTCTGCGAAAGGCATGCTGGCTGCACATAAACCGGCAGGCACCTGGTGCTTCGTATGCATGCGAATGGGGCGCCAGGGGCCGTGCAGCGAAATTCGGATTGACTTGTGGTGCCGCCGAGTGCAGAATTCTCATAGCATCGGGGCGTTCCACTGTCACATTAAGTGTGTCTAATCTCGACCTTCCCATGTTCCCTGTCAAACCGTGACTCGGCGCTCGTGTCACATTGTTCGATGGCAGGACACAGCGAAAGTTACCCTTCCTGTTCACCAGCCGTGCCGACTGACAGGGCGCCGGCAATGTTTCCTGTAGCTAGATACGACAGCCAGTGAGCGGCCAATGAGGGGTGTTTGCCGTTATTTTCACAGGAACAACACTTGTTGTCACCCGAGTAGAATGTGAGAAACATACATCCATCCCTCCCCTCCCCTCCCTCCCTCCTCCTCCCCTCCCTCCCCCTCTCCCTCTCCCCCCCCGCCCGCCCCCCCCCCCCCCCCCCCCCCCCCCTTCGCGACACGATTACGTGAGCAGGTCTCTCACCTTGAGGCGCTGCGAGCGCTGCAAGAAAGAAGACGTGGTTTCTAAAAGCTCCGTAGGAATTGGTCGCCCCACTGCGGAAATCGCGGTCTAATAGAGTCATAAAGTTGCCCGGAAGCATATCGAGACCTCCGGACCTCGGTGAGCTGTCTCGCCCAACGTTCCTTTCTACCCTTAATTTTTGGAAAGACCTGCAAGAGCATCGCCTGATAGTTAGGCCTAACGAGGATTCGCCGAGCAATGCTGGCACGCAGCCGACGGAGGCAGCTGTGGTAGGGCATGTCGCTCTCCCCGGCTGACCCCCAGCGCGCTGCGTCGCCCACGCCAACAACCATGTCGCAACTATTCCTTACCACGCCCTTGACAACCCAAGCCAACATTCAAGGTGACAATCTACCCAGTGCTCTGAGTACTGGCCACCCAACATACACGACTACAGACGGTGGTGACCCCATGGAATTCCAGGCCCCCAGCGGCTCTGGGAACACAGTGAAAAGGACGTATCAAGACCCCATGTTCCAGAAAGACTTGGAGAAACTGGAGGAACCAACAAAAAAGGTAAGGGCCACCCCAGGAAATCCCTCCAGTCCCTATCCCACCCCTTCCCCCTCACAATCGTACCGTGTTCACATACGTCCCCTCACACGACATGACATCACTTCGGTTCCAACGAAACGAATTCAACAAGTTATTGACCGCTGCCTGGGCACTACTGGTTACAAAGGCTACGTCGTGTACAAGTCGACTAACTCAATCACCGTACACCTGGCCTCCCTAACAGACGCACAAAAAATGTGCACATTGACAGTGATACCACTATCAGAAGACCAACAACTGCCAGTACAGTCGTACTTTGCATCGGGACCTAACATTCAGAAATGCGTTATATACGACATTGACCCGGAAGACACCCCTGAAACCATATGTCATGAATTGACATCCCATTCACACACCGTGCTCACTACCCGATTTATGGGAAAGAGTCGCACTTGCCTAGTGACGGTACAAGGCCCCGAGCGTCTTCCTGAGCGCTTCTTCTACTATGGCCGCGTCCTGCACCCGAAACCCTACCTCCCAAGGGCAATATTCTGCTATCGGTGCTATAAACAAGGTCACATGCAAGCATTCTGCCCCCAGCGTAATATCGACCCAGAACGGACTACACCAGAGGGACAACCGCGATACAGATGCGGCCTGTGTAAATCAGATGACCATGACATGACGGCCCCAAACTGTCCGATGAAACAGAGGGCCACAGCCCGGTTGCGTCAGACCGTGCGTACGATAGGGCAGACGGTCCCCACTTACAATCGCTATCAGCTGCTTGATAACGCGTCGGAGGGACCACTGGAAGAAAATACATCCGGGTCACAGCAACCCCTATATTCGAGTGTACTCAAACGAAACAAACGTCCGCGAGGGCGGCCCCAACATGAAGCAGAAGCTCCACATCAGCCGGAGGATGACATCGACGCCCAGATAGAGGCATTATCCAAAGAGCTCGAGCACCTTCGGAGACACAAAGAGTTGGTAACCGCACGACGACAAAAAACGGGAGCAACGGTGCCTACATCGTCCGGCGAAACAAGTGCACAGACTACTGCACCACATCAATCACAAAAAGCCCCTCAAGTAGTCTGGACAGCCATCCTAGAACGCCTCACTGAGATGACACGACTCATTGAGGACTGTTTGCACCATGTCTAACCCCATGGTGCGTCCTTCACAAGACGGAATTATACAGTGGAACTGTAGGGGCCTTACCTCTAAAATTGGAGAAATCAAAACGAAACTCCTGTACAACAAGCTACATGCATGGGCTTTTCTTCTCCAAGAGCACAATAAACTATGTAATTTATCCCAGTTTATTGGGTACGATCATCCATCTATCCCTGATCAGCGCGTAACCTCAACTATGTCAGCACCGGGAAAAGCAGCAGTATATGTATCGGCTAGAATACCACAAACGTCCATTGATCTTGGAAAATGGTGTAACTGTAACCAAGAAGTTGTCGGTGTGCTCACATGTCCTGTCAAGACACCTGTCATTCTTATATCATTCTACGCTAGACCACGACGCACTAGAGTCAACCTGGGATGGATACGGCACCTCCGCTCAACGTATCCGGGGGTCTTTATCCTCGTGGGCGGAGACTTCAATGCTCCCCACAGGGAATGGGGATACCAGTACAACACCCGAAGAGGGGATCAAGTTAGGAATACCATGGTAGACGCCGCATTCACACTACTCAACCAGCCGGGGGTATCAACCTGCATTGCATCAACGACCGCTAGGACCCATGCCCCCGACCTCACTTGGTGGATTGGCCCTGGAGTGCCGCAATGGCGCGCGGAACCAGACACCTGGGGCAGTGACCACATGCCAATAAAGATCGGCCTTCACAGTGCTTGCCTCAAAAAAATCCGGCGTCGGGTGACGGTCACACACTGGGATAAGCTTCGAGAAGCATCGGCCACGATGATCCCTACTGATCCTACGGAGCTCCTTCCAGCTCTGCAACAGCTCCTTCGGGATTCGATCATCACTACGACGGTGGATGAAGACCAACCACAACCAGACCTTACCCTTCTACAGCTATGGGCAAAGCGCCGGCAGGCAGACGTGGCTGCGTCTAGGAACCCAACTACGCCGGGTGGTCGATCTGGTGTCAACCATCTTGCGGCTGAAGCGCGCCGGCACGAAAAAACGGCTTTCCAGACAGCGGTGGTATGAGTGGTGTGATAGTCTTGGGACCGGTACTGGAAACAAAGCTCTATGGCGCACATATCACTCCATGGAGCAAGGGGGAAAACAGCCCGACCCAGCTGCGTGTGTTCGTCTCGCACTGCAAACCACACCGAAAGATTTTGCAACTTATGCGGCTCGAACATTCTTCCCCAAATATGACCAGACTTCACCCATTCAATGCCCCGATATTGACGAGCCCGACTCCACCTCCCAGGCAGACATTTCTAGTCCTTTTAACATGGCTGAACTTATTGCGGCGATTGAAACTGCTAAGAAACGCACGACCCCCGGTCACGATGGTGTCCCTACTGAGGTGTTCCAAAACCTAGAAGGTCCGGCTCTTGACACACTTCTAGAGGCAATCAATCAAGTATGGGAGACAGGAGATATCCCCTCTGACTGGAAACATTCCATTGTTGTTCCTATCCCGAAGCCAGGAAAGACACCCGACAATCTCCAAGCGTTACGACCGATTTCGCTTACACCAACGATTTGCAAGCTTGTAGAGAGGATGCTGGCCACACGAGTATCCTGGTGGCTCGAAAGATACGGAAAATATCACCCCGCACAAATCGGCTTCCGACCGTACTTGGGGACTGAGGAAGGCCTGTCGATTCTAGCGGACGACATCATACAGGTGTCACCTCACAGTCAGCTTGTACGCACGGTGGTAGCTTTAGACATTGCCAAAGCGTACGACAATATTGATCACAAAGTCATAATGAGCAACCTCATAGAGCTGGGGCTTCCTCCGCGGGTCACACGATTTGTTTACTCCTTCCTTAGGAATCGAACATTTGCTATAAGGGTGGATGGACAACAAGAAGGATGCTTTACGTCCAATAGGGGGGTCCCCCAAGGCTCCGTCTTGGCTCCACTTCTTTTTAACATTGCACTTATACCTCTGGCATGGCAACTCCATCGGGTACTGGACGTCAAATTTCTCGTCTATGCTGACGACGTCACATTATGGACAACTCACAAGGACCTCTCTAGGCAAGCCAAACAACTTCAAGAAGCCCTTGACATTCTTTTGAGTTATTCACAACGAGCCGGGCTGGAAATTTCTTCGCAAAAATCTAGCTACGTTGTGGTAGCAAACAAGGCGGGACGTAAGAAATTTACCCAGGCCCCCTTTCAACTCAGGCTGGGTGCTATAACAATACCTGAGACTACGAATGTCCGGATATTGGGCCTGGATATACACCAGTCAGGAAGTGGAACTCAATGGCTCCGAAAGATTAAGCAAACATCTGCTACCACTCTCCATCTCATTCGACGCATAGCACCGAAAGCGGGTGGTGCCCGTACAGACATTGCTCGACGGCTGGTGCGTGCCATCTTGCAACCGCGAATAATTTACCAAGCGCAATTCCATCGACTCACGGCGGCACAGTGGTCACAATTGGAAACCATTAATCGTGACGCAATGCGCGCCATCACGGCGCTACCTCGGATTACTCCAATTCCAACCCTACAGGAACACGCGAGTCTCAACACAATCACGGAACTCATCTCTCAGCGAGAACAGGCAAGGGAAATTAAAAAACAGTTTGTACCAGCGGTTGCTGCGCTACATGCGCATTTTCAACGTGGCCCCCCGCTGAACGTGCAGTCGGAGACGATACCTCCATGGAAATTCACCTACATTACCACCAACAAACCGACCAAGTTACGACGTCGCGATCAGGGGGGCACACCCTCCCAACGTCCCTGCCCCGAAACCCAACATGACGACCACTGTCAAGTTTACACGGATGCAGCGATCTTCCCAGACGGTGGCCGAGTCTCATTCCTCAGCTCCACACATACATGCATCCAGGGGCATCAGCGATATACATCTCAGGAAGCCGACCCACTTGTCATGGAACTACAGGCCATTCACGACGCCATACAAGCAGTGACCACCAAGCTGCCGACAATCCGCCATCTTCACATTTTTACAGACTCCTTAGCGGCAATTCGAGAGCTCAAAAAGGTTTCCAAAGCAATGGAACTGTGTCAAAGGATACACACCCTTCACCGCAATACTTCGACCTGCATTAAGGTGTATTGGATTCAAGGTCATGCCACGAACCAATACAACCTTGCAGCTGATCAACAGGCACACTTTCCATCTGATCCCGATCTCCCTCCCCTCCCCCTCCCGTCCGAACCCCTTTCCCTCCTCCACGCCCGTAAACACTCTCTCCAGCAGGACACACGCGCTCTTATCCCCCCGTGTGTCTGCTCCCTCCCCCGCCATCTCACCAGGGTGGAGGAAGTTGTGCTTCGGAGACTGCGGGCTGGGGTGGCCCTTACACCGGCTGTAACCTGCACATGGAGCTCTCCACCCGGCACACGACGGGCAACATGCCCCAAGTGTCCCCTAGACGCGACGGAAGCGGATGTGCGTCACCTTATATGGACTTGTCCTGGCTTACAGACTGAGCGCACTCGCCTACTTACAGCTGCAGGTCTCCAACACAGTGCACCCACCAGCTACCATAAGTGGCTGCATGACAACAACTATCACAAGACATTGCTTCAATTCATCCATACCACAGGTCTTGTAGCATACATATAAGACATTTATGCCTAAAGGCAACCCCCTACGTAATAAAAAAAAAAAAAAAGGTCTCTCACCTTGCTCATGTAGTCGGAGGTGGTGACAAATCTGAAGGCATCGCTCAATTTCGCCTTGAGGGTGATCGACTGTGAAGCGATCCATCGGTCTTTGTCCACTTCGACTTGATATAAGACAGCGATGCTGGCCAAGCAGAGCGCCAGGAAAGACACCCATCCTTTAGTCTGCAATGCATGAGTAGTAAAGACTTACCTGGTTATCGGACAGTTCATAGCAGAGACAGAGCAAGAAAAATGGCTAGAAACGTGTACTAAATGGTCGACAAATCACATATTTTCTCACGGAAATGACATATTAAGATTTTCTTGACTTTATGAGTAAATGCACAAAACATTAAGAATTAAATTGAGAACTTGTGGTCATTCAATACCACGTGCTGAAACTAATTATACTTGCCATCGTCGTTCGTACAGAGTGAACGGGATCTTCTGTTTACAAACTTCCAGTGTGGGTTGCCATGTTGACTGACTACAAGTGCGTTCCAACTTCCATCCCCAAGGCTTGCTTTCTAAATGATGACTGATTTTAACTCGTCCTATTAAAAAAAGGTGAACGATGTCACAGCTACCAGCTTCTTACACACTATTGTATGGTCAATCAGAGTTACTCTAACCCACCGTGTTTACAACCCAACCAACCCTAATTCAACAGTCTGTGACGTCACCCAAACGCGATTGTGAAAAGGTTTGACATCTGAACACAGTCATTTTCCCCGCTTGGTAGCTTGCGCCATCTACCATTCTGTAAACGAACAAGCAATTCATGGCGGGAATAAGCTTCTGTCTAAAAATTATGTTTTGCCGTTTTTGCAAAATAGCGTATCAGAAGCCTGACTTCGTCAGGCACCTATGCCTTTTGCCTTGTTGCAATGCCTTTTCTCTTCTTCCTTTTTGGATTTTGCTTTAGACTCCCTCTGCGAAAAAGTACCAACACAAATAATAAAAGAATGGAAAATGATAGTGTTCGACAAGACGACATCGCGAACATTTACTTCTTGATATGTGTACATTAAAGTCAGTATTAGCTTTTCCTTGAATTATGTCCGAAGGTGAATGCTATGAAAATAATATTGTCGACACTGGGATCATTTCAGCAAACTTTTACTCCATTTCTTTAAATGCTGTTTTTTTTAGATTTAAACATCCATAGGCTCAAAGCACATTTCTGAGTTAGTGAAACGGTTATTGCAAGTCTCTAAAACAGTAACGTTTTGAAAACATGTGTACGGATGTAAAACACCGACTGAACAATATTTTAAAACGAATAAATATGGCTTACGTTGTGTGAACTGAACTGCCATCTGCGAGGAAAAAAGAAAAAGGCATAATGTTAGTTTATGTTATTTTCCACAATAACAATATTTAGGTGCTTGAATAAATCAAATACAACTATGATCAGTGAAAATGGGTCTAATATTCTTCGCATTGTAATTTCAGACTGATATTTCATGTGTCTACTTAGAAGGAAGTGTTTCTCTCCCTACATTTCGTACTATGTTTCATCTGACCTGAGCGCAGCCGACGTTACGAACCAATGAGACCAATCAAGCAGCGTCAAAAGCGCAACGTCACGGTTTGTGTCGTGTATATGCGCGTGTACTACCACCGGCTAGACCTATCGAGTAGAGTGAATGTGCCGCAACCTTGCGACATTTGTCTCCGCGTGCGTTTCCATGGCTTCTAGCTTTTGGCCTTTGTTGTTGGTCGTTCTCTTGAGACCAAGTCAGTCACAGCTCAAGCACTGACACCCCCCAAACTTTTTTTTTCTTTTTTTTTTTTTTTTTGCCAGGCGATTTGTTATGATGTTAGAAGACTACCGAGTAAATATTTTGCTACCATGTCACGTATGTTTTTATTAGAGTAAAAAAGAAAAAGTCCGAGGACACCTAAGCACTTCTTATGAGTTGTGAATGAGAAAGCATGAATGTCGTTCTTCCGCTCCCTTAGTTCGTCTGCGACATAGTGGCGTTGACGACCACGTTTCGCCGGCCGACGGCCGAGTGCGCGCTCTCGGGAACTGGTCACGCCTCGGCTGGGCAGCTCGGCCGTGCATCCTCTCCGGAGTTTGCCCGGGCGGCGGGCTCTTCCAGCTCTGCGTGCGACCACCACTCCCTCTTACCGGCGGCCGGGCCGCTGCGCGTGCTGCGGAGCCATGGAGAGGGCATCTCTGGTGGCGATTTTTGGAACTACGCCGCACGAGAGCCAATGGGAGCCTCGCTCCTTGATGACGCGCAACAGCCAATGGGAGCCTATCCATCAGATTTCTGCTACAGACAACATTGGGACAGGGGAAGGTGCCGTTTGGAGCGGCTTCAAAGCTGATGACGTCGGTTCGCTCCATGGGACAGCTAATGCTTTTGCATGAGAAAACGCAGCAGGTCGAAACCGAAACCGAAACTGGACCGGGGAGGGAAAAGAAATGTAGAGGAGGAGAGAGTTTCCGGAAGTCGCGTGGCTGCACCTGACCGCGCAAAACAAGCTTTTTGGTTTTCGTCGAAGTCACGCGCACAGCTGGCGCGGAGCCAGAGAGAAGTAGGCGTCGCGCAACACCCCCTAAATAGCAAAGCCTCGGTGTTGAATGAGACGGCGTCATCAGAGAAGGCCAACGCCGGACAGATTGGAAACGAGTGCCGCGTCAGCGGTTGGCTTCAAGTCAAGTTTGAACTCTGAACCGAACGTTGACGTAATCGCCGTGTCCAATCTGGGTACAGCGTTGGCCTTCTCTGATGACGGCTGCTCATCCAGCACTACGGCTTTGTTACCTAGGACGTGTTCGCCGCGGCGCAGTGGAATGTGGGGGCGGTGGCGTCACTATATAGAGTCGGCGGCACCCGGGGCGGTAACCAGCCGCGACCCACCCCTTTCACTGCCCAGCTGCCCCCTGAGCGCTGCACCCGAGGCGGTCCGAGCTTGACGACATTTCCTGGATGGACACCTGACATTTTTTGTCACCTAGCAAAAACACGATAGCTTTACGATAGTGGCTATCGATAATTTCTCCATATTCGACTATAAACAATTTCACGATAGTCGACTATCGATAGTTTTACGATAGTGGACTATCGATATTCAATTATCAATGGTATATACTATCGATAGTTTTACGATAGTTGACTATCGATAGTTTTACGATAGTCGACTATCGATAGTTTTTTCACTACTGATAGTTAGACTTGGATTCCACTATCCATAGTACCGATAGTACTATCGAGTTTTCTCCACTATCGATAGATAAATTTAGAGTCCACTATCGACAGTACTATCGACAGTTTTACGATGGTCGGTTATCGGTACTGTCGATAGTTTTGTCACTATCGATAGTTAATTTTGGCTTCCAGAATCGGTAGCAACTATAGTAATATTGATAGTTTTGCACCACTACCCGCGATACTCCATGTTGAAAGTCAAAAATGTTCCAAAAGCCGGGATTCATGATTAAAAACAAATACATCCGACTTGCATAACAATACCAACAATTTATCAGACGCTTCGTCTCCTATGCGGGAGACATCATCAGTGCGGCCTGGAAACACCCGACTGGTGTTCCCAGGCCGCACTGATGATGTCTCCCGCATAGGAGACGAAACGTCTGATAAATTATTGGTGTTGTTAGGCAAGTATGAGGTATTTGTTTTTAACGTTGAAAGTGTCTGTGCTATTTTTTTTTATTTAAATCAACGTATTTGCAGTTTTTGAAGCCAGAAAAGTGGGTATAATATTTTTGTTTCTATCTATAATATTGAGTGTGTTTCTTAGATCACCTACGACTTTGATTATATTCGGTGTGTGTGTCTAAACCATAGGAAACGGCACGTAGGGTGTGAACGTGGCCCAAACCGGCCAGTTCTCGATAGGCGGTTTTTCGGGCGGAAAGAAAACGAATTTCGAGCCGCAAATTGTGTTCTGGGTAGTTGGGCTCTCCTATGTCACGTACAAATAAAAACCTTAGCGAGCATAAATACCCTGCCGAGTGTCCCTTTAAAAACGCAGGGCATCCTAATAAGTTCACGTGCCTTGCTTCGTGATTATTCCTTTGGTACTCTTATCGGCTCAAGCCCCAATGTCATCTGTTGCGGCGTGATAACAACTTCGCTCGCCACTCACGGGGACAGCCATTTTTAGGGTGCGTGTTCGTTTCTTTAGTAGGATATTTCAGAGCTCAAACGAACAGACCTTTAGCAAAACGAGCAGGTCCTCTATAGAACCGAATTCCGATTGCAGTATACAACGGACAAAACCTCGGACACGATGTGGATGCTGCGAATTTTCCCATAATTCGTTGCAAACGATCTTTCGGAATTTATGAAAAATGTATGATTGTGCCCCGATCCGTGAGGTGCCTAAACATCATACGGTGGGTTTCCACGTGTTTGGTTTAGAATCCGGCATTATAATCCACGAACTAATCCTAAAATATGACGACGATGACAGGAGGCTATACTGCAGAGGGTGACCGCGGCGCCAGGTTCTAGCCCCGGAAGTCAGTGCATCGGGGTTGGCAGCCGTCTACTTCGACTGAGTCACTTCCTGGAGCCGCTGCCTTGACTTAAGCGCGCGACCGCACCATCAACTACCAGGGTTTTATCATCCAGAACTTTCATTGTAACAGCTATCCGTAGGTCACCTTGGCTGGCTGGCCTACTCGCCTAAACCGCCACCGAACCTCCAAGACTAGCGTGGCGGTTCAGAAGAGCACGTCGTCCTCATCATCCATGTCGTCCCCATCACCACCAAACCGCCCAGGCTTTCCCAGCCTCAGCGCGCGGTGAAGCCTCCGGAGTCCGGATGCCACCCTGGAGAGCTTGCTCAAGACACTTCTCCGGTTTCAACCGGCGTATCTCATGGCACCCGCCACCAGAATTTGTGAGTCGTGAGACTGACTGGACAGAAGGTCAGCACAGCGAGCAGCCCACTAAAAAGCAGTGGGCCCTCATCACCCGCCACCCTTGCCCATAAGCTCAATTTCAACATCGTCACCGCCTCTCCGTCATCTGTACACCATCTCATCACATCATCATTATACTCTGTTTCATACTTAGCGTACAACGCTGTCAAAGCTACTGGCGCGAGCGTGGGGCTTGATTTCGTTGATCATTTGCACGCGTTCTCGCGCAAACAAAACCATAGAAGAAGCCACGCGCTCGCGCCAGTAGCGTTGACAGCGTTGCACGCTATAAGTATGAAACAGAGTAGATGCAGCGCCGCTGGCCTTCATGGTATGTGCCACTTGCCTTTCCGCGGCGCCGAGGCTCTCCTGAACCAAAATAAATAAATGAATAATAATAATGTCACTGACACAAGTGTACCTGACACTGGGTGCGTTAAGTCCACGATCTTCTATCTACTCCGAGCGCAGCAACTAAACGGAGCGTATAGCGTACAGGTGCATGAGCCACCTTCGACCGCACAGTTCTGACGAACCCGGCATCTCGTGCATGGATACGGGCGGCAGAAGCCGAAATTATTTCCAAGATAAATTTATTAAGGCCTGTGTAGAGCGACAGAGTGTAAAGTATAACATGAGAGTGACGTTATGAAGTTTCTACGAATGTTTCAATATTCCCAAAGGGTTTGAAGACTCGCTTCGAGCAGATATGCGGAGAGTTACCTTGACTGATCTATTTATTGACCATGCATCCTGTTCAGATTAAAATACAATACAACATACTCGAACTCGCTTGTCGACGCAGGGAACTGTCAAACCTGTCAGGTATTCCGTGGTCTTGCAGCGCGAGACGCTGGGCTGAGGACCCGTAAATATTGCTATGACGTCCCACCGCCGCGGGGGCGCTTCTGTCGACGTGGTGCATGCGCGGACTGTTCATGCAAAATTGGTTTCTGCGCGTGCGCACTGTTTACATCTCGTGTGACAACTGCACGTTTGTCCACACGAAGGGGGTGTGCCGTCGAAATTAATACTGTCCTCCGCTGGGGCGTTACACCCCTAAATGTATTGTTGTTGTTTGTTTTGCATGCTCGAAAGCAGTACATAATTTCTTCGGGTGTGATGCAAATATGAAGGGTGAGAAAGCAGATTCATTGGCGTTTTGTCGACGACCTCAGGCAAACTCAGATTTCGAGGGACACGCATGCGCTACAAAATTGAAAAAAATAAAATAGAAAAAAAAAATCAGAGATGCTTGTTTTTTTAAACAAATCATAAAAACACACACACACACAAAAAAAGTTATCTTAATTTTTCTAACAAACACGAACTTCGAAAACGCCGAGCCGTATTCATACGAAATACTTAGCGTCACTTAACTACATAACTTCAATGTGATGTGGATCAACACCTGGAATAGCAGTTCCGAACCGAACTATAGGTGCAGGTCGGTCTCTTAATTATCACGTGAAATAAAAGAAAAGCCATCCAAAATCAGAAATCATGCACCCATTTACTCAAAAGTTCCCACATTCCTTCTTGCAGTACAGCTCGTTTAGAGCTGTACTATGCAACACAGCAGACCGCCCGAATGTCTGAGCACCGGTTGTGAGGACGAGCGCCCGTACCGCATCCAGGCGAACCGTGCAAGCCGTACTTTCGTTTCCTAAAAAAAAAAAAAAAAAAAAAAAAATTGTTTTGAATTTTTTAACAGAAATCAACTTTGTGCAGCCTTTCTCCTACACTATAAGGCCCGTTCACACTCTTGCAACCGAGTACGACCGAGAGAGACCAAACCGGTTTTTAAGCCTCTTGCGACCTCTTAGGACCGGATGCGCTGCAGCGGAGCTGGTCCTAAGAGGTCGCAAGAGGCTTAAAAACCAGTCTGGTCTCTTTCGGTCGTATTCGGTTGCAAGAGTGTGAAGGGACCCTAAGGTAACTGCAGCGTTTACTTTCCCGGAAAGCATTTAGGAGAGCCAATCGTTGCATATCCTACGAAGGGAACTCGGCAAATGATGAGGCTGAGTGTATGTTTAAGCCTAAAATACAGACCAGCCTTTGGTACTAAGCACGAATTTTCCTTAGCATAAATTTTCCTGAGCATAAAGAGGAGAGCCGAGGCTCTCCCGAGCTAAATAAAAATAAATATCAATCAATTACTTCATGCTCAATGACACAGCGTAGTCTTTTTTTTTTTTTTTTAAAGGTCGGAACACATATTTGGTTTCGAGTTCCCTCTGCAACGAACGGCTCTCCCAAGTGCTATGAGGGAAAGTCGGCGCTCCAGATCGTTCTTCGACGCATCAATGCACAAATCACGAGAGACGGTTTGGTTTTAGCCTTTATTCGGGGGCCACTGAGGTGATCGCACGCACTCATGCACACATGATTTACAGTCTTATACGCGGAGTTGTATACGTCAGCAGTTGCAGAAAGGAAACTGGAGGTGCCGTGATTAATGCCGGGTAACCGCGTCTGCGCCCAACCCTGGCTAGGAAGTCGCTCTGTAAGTGCACCGATCTGGCGCAAACTCTATGATCGGAAAACGACTGTTCTGGCTAGATCCAGTTTTCTACGTTATGATCGCCCGATACAAGGGGTTAAGCGACGACAATTCAATTCATTCCAATGGAATCCATGGATCGGACGTCGTAGAGACAACAGCAGCAAAACGACGAATTTCAGAAACCGTATACTTTGCTGTATACAATGCAAAATCGAGATATTTTTACATATTCTTTACCATTGGACACTATTTTTTTTAGAATTGGTGCGTTGCAGAGTTAAGCTGCACGCTTTAACGCAGTGCAATATTTCCAAACTGCGATGGCACTCCACTCCATAGAACAAATCAGAGTGGGTTGGTGAAGTACAAGAACAAAAAGTGCAACACTAATAAGAGACAGCAGTGTACCCATACGCCTGGTCCCGCCACGCTGTTTGTCTTTTGCGCTGTTTGTCTTTTGCGAGGAAATTAAATATAAATCGAAGTTCGTCTTGCTATCTGCCTCGAACCAGACTAAGCATAAGGACTTGTAACAAGCTACTTCGGGGACCAATAAAAAAAATCAATCTCTATAAACATAAAAAATCAGTAAAAAGAAACGGTATAGTTTACTGCGCTTGGAGCATTTAGTTTAAACGGAAGCCGTTTATAGTATACTTGCCTCATTATCGTATGGTCGCAATCTCGCAATAATTTTTTATTGCAGTAATTAAACACACGTGTGATTGGTTAGATTTATTACGCTTATTGCGCCCAGTAGCTTACAACAGGTTGGTCTAAGCGTTGCGCCAATATTTAACAGCAGTGGCTCTAAAGAAGGTGTGGCGAATATGCATCCTTTGCTAGGTGTCGTTACGCTCTACACGACTAGGGGAAACAGGCGAGCTTTCATGCCACAAATATATTTTTAAATTCTAGTACTGCGCGTAATTAAACTTTGCCGCTCTTACTATGCTAACAATTGTAAGGTGTTTTCTTCACCATTTTAAATACACGCGAGTGCTTCCTAAGGGGAAGAAGTTATGTTCGTCACCAAAGGCTCTGACTACAGCGGATGCGTGCAGTGTCAATGTTAGTTTACATTTATTTCGGTATATTTGTACTTGCAAAGAGCTTATGCATGGGGTACTTGTATAAGCGAGAGTTTAATAAATTACGGAAGAGGATGTATGAGACAATCCGCTTCTTTGGACGCTTCGTACGCTGCACGGGTATTGGCAACGTACGTAGGTGTGGGCCTGCTGGTGGGCCTGCTGCTTTAGGCGTGAGGAGTGCAAGAAGGTTCAGTCGCGCACAAAAGGATATTAGGCTAACTTTGGCCTTGCACTTCGTGATGTTATCATAGAGTGAATCGGTTTGCAGGGGGTTGAGCCCTGTCAGCCCATGGGTACCGGATACCAACTATGGCACTATACTACAAGAAAAATCACTCGTGTACACGTTGACACATTCACACACACATGCAAACGAACTTGTACAATATATAACTCAGAAGTTAAGTTTTTTCGCTTAAAAAGAGCCACAAAAATAAAAAAAAAACAGAGAAACACCGGCACATTCCGTTCTTTGGCGCTGCTCAAGAGACCACGCGGTGGCGGTGAAGACGTCGTTGTCCTCGCCTTCGCAGAAATGGAACTGTCCAGCAAGAAGATCGACGATTTCACGTCCCGATTGGTCCATTTCCGAAAACGGATGTCCATGTTCCATTGGGCGACGTGGTCTTCACACGACACGGGCCTTTGGGGAACGCCGAGAGTTGCACTGAAACCTTCTGAAGTAAGAGCTTGAAGGACCTCAAAACAGGATTTCCATAGACTTTCATTGGTTCGGTGCAAGGTAGGAGGAGACATGGTAACTGAAAGGCTCCTTGAAGCGTGTCGCATCGCCGGCAGCTTTTAACACATCTGGCTTGTGGCTCTAAGCACCTAAGTAGGCTGATTCGGGATTGGAGGTGTAGTTCGCGTAGCATTATAGATCAGCCAAGAAATAGAAAGGCTTTAGCCAGGAAAGATAAGATACCGGCAGACTGCTTATGCTTTGGGCCACAGTGACATGCCATACATTCTATAGTATATTTCAGTATAGTTTCGTCATTTCATCTCGTACTTCTAGATGAACTTCTATGAAACACTAGTCTGTAACTGTCACAAGTATACACAAGGGAAAGTATGGCACAGCCCTTTATGGTGACTGAATAATTATAACTACTTTTCTTCTTTTTTTTTTTTAATCTCCATGGCACATAAGTTGGGTTGTTGGCCGTAAGCACGGACCTTGGTTTATACGTCTTCAGCCTTACTTGAACACGTTCAAGAAATTAGTGCCGCAGAGTCTTGTCCAAAGACAAATAACACACAACATTCTTTCTTGCTCATAGACGACAGCATAATTTTTCTCCGTTGGTCGTAAGTCATCTATCTACCTGGATCATCGATTTACAGACATCCCGATGAACTGTCGCCTCTCTCACAGCAGGAATCTAAATCTTAAATATAAAAGAAAGGAAGTTTACATTGCTGTCTGCTTTTCATGCATGCTGCTTTCTTTAGTGTCTCTCTCAACAGAATAGCCTGTTGCAAGTGATAGACTCTCTGGCTGATCTCCTATTACTTTGTGCTATCACTCGCAGCTAAGGCGAGCGCAAACACGCGTGTCCCGCGTCACGAAAAGGGATGTCAGTGTTCTTCAGCTAGCAGTCTGAAGTAATTTTGATTTTTGCATAGCTTCCTCCAAACATAAAAAGGAAACGCGACAACAGCAGCCACACAAAGTCAGCACATCGCAGAGTAGGATCCGCATATTCGAGCAAGGACAGAACGGATATAATAAAGCAACTCAGTCAGCAGACGTTACCTCACTGTATATACAGCAGACAACATAGACCTCTCTCAGCGGCTTTAGCTTTGTGAGAGTGTTATTCTTGATGGTCTCCTTTATATCGCAAGACACGTTAATCTGCGCCAAGTGACCTAATGCTAGCATCGAACTGCGGATCTTCTTTGGCCAGCAGTCAGCGATGTCCTGAAGACCAGTCCAATAACGTAATTCTGCGCGGTAAGTCCTATCGAAGATATCATGTACGAAAAGCTCCGCGCAGGCAGAACTGACACCGGCGTTTTCTTCGCACTTCATATAACGCGCACGATAAAACGAATATATTCGTGATAGAATTATGACGGGCTGCAAGATTCCAGGTCCTGAACAGAGTACGGGGAGTACGTCATATTTTGGTGGGACAATAACCGCGGCGGTTTCAAACGCCGGTTTTATTTTTGAATATTTTTTTTCCTCGGAACGAAGGGAAATGTAAGCTGCCGACAACCTGATTGCACCACCGCCGGAGCTTTCGGGAGGAGAAACTGACAGGATCCTCTGGACAATTCCAATGATCGTTTTCTGCGTGCCGCCATCTTTGTCTACTGGGCCATAGAACGCGTTCTTATCATGCGCAGTTGCTCGCTTCTCTGGAATACCAGACGCCGCGCATGCGTCCATGGCCCGGTGACTCAGCATTATTTTCGCCGTGGGTGAGAAGCGCTGGAAAGGTGAACACGCGAAGCGCTCAGAACCGCGCGGTATACTCGTTGGCGTTGCGGCCAGATCGGAGCCTTCGACTCATCCAGAAGAGGAGTCCTCAACCGAAGGACTGTCTCAATGGCAGCCGCAGCTGGCGGCTACCATGTCGTCGTACTGCTTGAGCACGACGTTCTCGTTTTCGTCGAAGTAGAGGAGGCTAATGGAGAAGAGCTTGTTGGGCACGCAGCACGGCGTTCCGACTCCGGGAGACAGGCTGAGCTCGTTGACGATGCTCTGCACCGTGGCGTGGTTGGTGGGCAGCTGGTCTTGACCGAGCGGGAAGGAGCACTGGCCCTTGCAGTAGTAGGCGTTGTAACCCTTGGGCGAGATAATCCAGCTCGACCAGCCGATCTTTTCGAAGTCCACGTACATCTCGTGGCGGGCGCAGTTGAACGGCTCCCCGTGCGCGTTGCCAACCTTAGAAGAGGCCCGGGCGGCGCGGACGCTCCGGGCCGCCAGGTTGGGTGACGGCTGGGGCCGCAGCGGGGACGACGGAATCCTCGGGGCCGCGGCTGGGATCGTGGGCTCCGCTGCGCCGTCCGAGGGACTCCCTGCAACGAAAAACAAGGCGTGACTTTGAAAGTGCGTCCAAGTTTTTAAGCCGTGGTCACACTGCTGATGCATCATACGATAGACAGTCTGCAGGACCTGTCTAAGGCGTCTGTCTTCCTTACACAATTGTCGGATCCCATTGGTCCTACACAAACTGTCGGCAGATATGTTCGAAGCACACATATGTAAAATGGAAACATGCTTCGAAGATGCTTGAGGCATGTCCGCAGCTAATTTTATCATCATGTCTGCGGAAAAACTCCGCGTCTTTTCTATGATGTGCGAGCGGTGTTACTGTGGAGTCAAATTTCTAAAAGTGCGCAAACATCGCTTCGATTCAAAAGCGCGGTGCCGTTCCTAGCTACAATATTATAAACAGAGCAAGTAACTGCAGTGGCCCTCCCTTGCACTGTGAAAGCTATGAGTGACTCAACGCTACTATTCGATTCGAAGAGTGTTGGGTAACGAACATATAATAAGTACTCGAATTTAAATGAGAGGTTACGTACTTCAAGTAAAGTAGTAAGTACACCGTACGTAATGTACTTGAAGTACTATAAATACAATTCAATTACAAGGTAAAGTACAAGTGCTTTTTTTAACACAATCTTTCATGGCGCCCTTTTAAGGCCCGTTCTCACGCTTGCGACCGAGTAAGACTGAGAGAAACCAGACCGGTTTTTAAGCCTCTTGCGATCTCTTAGGACCAGCTCCGCTCAGTGCATCCGGTCCCAAGAAGTCTTTCTCGGTCGTACTCGGTTGCAAGAGTGTGAACGCGCCTTTATTCCGTAATCGGTAATCGGGGGCCTTCGCAAACGGCGTCGAATATTGGATAAAGTCCGGTGGCCACAGAGTAGCTGTTTTACTCTCGCTGACGAACTATTCAACACAATCAACTTATAAGAACTTATTTGTAGCGTTCTTATAGCCGCCATTAGTTCGCTCAGAGAAATGACCAGATAAGCGATGCGTCGTCTGCTCGCATTTCTGGTGAGAGTACAAAGCATCATCTCGTGATAATAATTTAACAAGATCACATAGGGGGCATGTACATTGAAGTCGGGAGTCGTACTTTCCTCAAAAAGTGACCTGAAAAAAAAAAAAAAAAAAAAAAACTTTACATATTTCCAGAATGTCAGTCAAACTTCCTGTTGAAGCTTTTTCCCTTTTGCTCGACCATTTCTTTAAATGGGAATAAAGATTATTATTATTATAAGTACAAAATTTTTAAAATTAAATACAATGTACTTAAAGCACTTCCCACCACTGGATTCGAGCCACTATTTGCAAGCACCTACATAATTGTTGTGTAGAGGGTTAGGCTTTGGAAAGTTATACTTCGACTCACCCAATACGATGAACAACAGTTAAAGTTACGGGCCACCAGACCCAGTCCTAAGGCAAAGTTATACCACGCGCTATAATGCTCCGACATTTGTATCGGTAAGTTAATTTGATAACTTGTCAGGGCAATATACCACCTGGTTTCTACCTCACTCGTGACAGGTCCTGGCGGCTCGGAGCTTCGACTGTAGTACTTCATCGTAGGGTGGACCAGCCCACCAAAACTCACCAAATTGGCTTTTGTGTTTGGTAGGAATAAGAAGTTTCACAAGTGCAGTACAACTAGCAAGAGTCTTTAGTAGTGCGTCACGCAGTAATGGCTATACACTACCACACAGGGGAGGGGTTCTGACCACGAGATCCCCGGGTACTGCAGAGCGAGTTTTCGCTCCACGAGCTCCGAGCTACGCACTGTATCTTTACAAGTCACATACATTATCACACACGAAGAAACAAAGATAATTTCAATACGAGAATGATCTGCCATTAGCTGAACGTAGAATAAATGTCAGGCGTATTGCCAGAATGTTGCATTTTTGTGGCAGAAGGTTGTCCATGCCCTGTGACCAGAATGTTTGTTTATTATTATGATTTAATTTCAAAACGCTGTGCACCTTCTTTGGGAGCGCAGTATTTCTTTCGAAGCACGAAGTGCTTTTAACGCTACCCCCCCCCCCCCCCCCCCCTTTTTTTTCAATCCCAAACTAAAATGTTTTTAGTCCGACTACCCGTCCGTTCGCCCGTGCGTTTAACGCCCAATTTAGAGGGGGAATTGATATCACGAGACCTATACGTGAATTCAGTTTTTCCGATTAATTTAGGGGAAAAATTCACGTCTTGTGGCTAAAAACGTCAATTTAGTTTCCCCGCTAAATTTAGCGGGAAAATGCACGTCTTGTGATTTAGACACGAATCCAGTTTCCCCCGCAAAATTTAGCGGGGGAAATCGACATCACGAGACCTATAGAACCATTTAGTTTCCCCGTTAAATTTGGCAGGAAAGTCTGCGTCACGTGACAAACCAATATACTCTAATGCATTTATTACATTATAGCACTTTTCAATTGTGTTGTGTGTATGTATATAAAGCCAGAAGTTAGCCCAAACGGGCGTTCGATGTCTCAGTTGTAAATGAGAAATTTAGCCAGTGCAGTATAACCGCTAGCCTGGGGTCTTTTGACGTGTTTCACGCAGTAGTGATACACGACCGCACACCGCTATGATGCTCATCCAGATCGAAAAGGCAGGGGTGATAGGACTTTGAAGGTAAAGGTCCCTGCCAATTTTTTATGACTCACAATGACTGATTTTTGACGTGTATCAGAGCGAAGAGTAAGCGTGCATCTTTGCACATAAAGTGATATCAACAGAAATTCCGTGGCATCATCGTTTGAATAGCTTGTTGGTCTCCGTATACTTGAACTTTCGAAGCACCTTATACGGTTGTCGCGAGCCTAGTGTTCCAGTTCATATCGCGACTCGCGATATGAACTGCTCCACCAGGCAGAGGAGGGTCTTCTAGCGAGAAACGGCGATACGATGGACGGTGGCGCGGGTACACAAGATTCCTTCGCGAGAACCCAATACTTGCACGACCTACTCGAGGGATACAAATTCATTGGCGTTAACTTGCTTTACAGAAGTATAGCCTACGCTACTGTAAATGCAGCTCCGAATCACAGTGAGGACCCTCCACCCTAATGTCCCCCCCCCCCCCCCTTTCTTTTTTATATCAGCAGCACAGAAGTGTAACGAAGAACAACCATAAAATACAGCGCAAAGAATGTAATGAAAAAAGGAAATTGGAACGGACACCATACACACGTATATATGTAGGCATCCCTTATGTCCAGCTGTTTTTGTTTTTTGTTCTGCCGTGTTTCCCGGGTTACTAACGGTCCCAAATAAAGCCGGATAATAATAACACGGCGCGAAGACCATCTCTGGTCATCAAGCGGTTATAAACCACCACCCGTTTCCCACGGCAGGATGCCCGGCGACCTTGTCTCCCCCTAATGACAGTTCCGAACGCGAGCGAGCAATAATATCGCACAGTCGTTTGAGAAAGCGTTTCCGCGCTGCCCATCTCTGAACTATCCCCCAGAAACCACGACGCGAGACGCGAACGCCTCTCTTGGGAAGTGCGAGTACACAGTAAGTATATACAGAGGCTCTCTCTCTCTCTTTCTCCCTTTCTTTCCGTCGGCTATCTCAAATGCGGTCATTTAGGAGCCCGAGGAGCGAAAAGTTCATCTTCGCAAGTAGCCCGTCCACTCATCACTCAGAAGCGGGCGATGAAACCCTAGAGCAGCGTATATAGACGATGGCCGGAGGCAAAACTTCGCTGACCCGTCTCTTCCTTTCCTTCCTGTTTTTTTTTTTTTTCTTTTTTTTTTTTGCTTTTTGTTTTTGTTAGTTTATGCTTTATTATAGTTTTCTGCTTTACACGTAATTTGCTTATTCTTTATCGTGTCTGCTCTCTCCTCTTTTTGTTTTCAGATATAGTTTTTTTTTTTTTTGTTTTTACTCACCGAGCATTATATGTCATCCTAAAAAGCGAAATCGTGGGCGCCCCAGAATTGCGATTGAACGTGGACCCGAATCAGAGGAGCCCCGTTTTTGGACGCAACGATAGCGCTGCATCGAAGGGAAACGTCGTTTTTGCAGGTCGTCAGGGCACAGTCACGTGACAGCAGGGATCACGTGACCACCTACGTGCCCCCTGCTTCCGGCCGAAAGTTCTTGTTTTTATATTGATCGTGTTCGCCGCGTTGACGGAGTCGTGTGTTACACGCCTAAGAAGTTTTGATCCTAGTTGGCCGTGGAAATGTCTTATTTATTCCGCGTGTGTGTGGGACTGGCTGGACTGGCTCGACAGTTGATACTTTCGGACGTGACACGCCCGGCGGGGATGCTCTGAACTCTTGCACGTCATTTCGGGACGCGTACGTCTCACTTAAAGCTTTGAATTTATAACAAAGGCGAACTGGATATCCCTCTGTATTGCCTGCACGTAACGAGCGGGTTAACTACGAAACGATCGGAAAGCTAAATAAAAGGTTGTGAATGCAAACATTGCCACCTCGATGTTTCTTGACCGGTGCGAACGAAGAAAAGTGCTGGCGCGGTTGTACGAGATACACGCATTTTCCAATCAACTGCAAATTTCATGACACCAGATTCAGCTCCATTGTCTATATAAAGACGCGAAATAAATCGTGAAAAGCGACGCTGCCGCATTCTGTAACCTTGGGCACAACCAAACAAACGTTACGTGCGGCCCAATAGCTGATGTATGTATTTTGAGAAGTTTCTTTGCATTCCACATCACTCATAAAAAAAAAAGTCGTATTTTGCGCCCACAGTGTGCGAAAAAACGAAAGCGATAGCTGTACAATGGTAGCGCAACGCGGGTGGAATGCTGCCGTCACGTTCCTGAGGACGGAGGTGCGACGTGGCTAATTCTCATAGCCGTCGTGGATGCCTCCGACTACTGCCACCAGTGATCCGTGAAGTAAGTGGGTAAGCGAGGTGCAAGTTTTTAACACCCTCCAGCATTACGCTAGCAGCTCCATGGATACTGCCAGAGTGGGATTTTGCACAACGCGAAGAATGTTTGAAAATAACTCTTTTGAAAAAGACGACATGGGCATTC